GCTGAGGAAATACATCAACTTTGCGCTGTCGATCACCGGATCGGCTTTCACCGTGGACGAGTCCAGCCCGGGGTCGTCACATGTGGTTGCTGCAAGCCCACCAGACGCACCGTTCTCAAGCCCGCCCTCCTCCGCTCACTCTAGGCCGCCGTGTGTGACGCTGTGTTTCGCTGTGAAAGCAAAACTACTTTGTTTGGTCTTCCAAAAGAGGACACGACTAGAAATCAGTGGTTAAGTTGTATTTACAACACTGTTCCAGAACAGTTCAACCCAAATATTCAGATGTGTGCAGCGCATTTTATGGAGGACTGTTTCCTGATCCTGGGAGAGTAGACTACAATGCCGGCTGTTCTGACTCACGTTTTTTTATATTTAAAGGATTTGCCACTGGCGATTCAAACGTGAGTTTTGAGCAGTGTAGAGTAGCACTTGTTGTTTGTCATTTCTCCTATCACAAATGCAGACATGGTTTTATGTTTGCGCGGCGTGATGCAACGCGTAAAAAGATGGTACAAGTCATTATAATACGTAAAAATCAATGTGTTTCAGAAAGGTGGGGCATAGAGGAGAAACAATAATGTACAGTATGTGGAAAATAATGTTTTTTGAACCTTAAACCGCATAAACACGTTTCATTACGTTTCATTTTTCAACAAAATAATGTTCTTTTTATGAGTATGGGTCACCATACTTGGCCACATGTCACGTCACTTTTTAGCAATATCATATGACCCCTTTAATGAATAGAAAGTTCAAAAGAACAGCATTTATTTTAAGTATAAATCTTCTGTAACATTATAAATGTCTTTACTGTCACTTGTGAATTTGTGAATTGTCAATTTAATGCATCCTTGCTGAATACAAGTATACATTTTTAATTTCTGACTCCAAACCTTTGAATGGTAGTATATTATAAATTAATATATACAGTAATAATTTAATGTATGAGTTAATATTTTAGTAATATAAAACTTTAATATAAAATGTTATATTTTATAGATATAAATCTAAAACGTGTGAAAATAAATAAAATTGACTAGATTTTACTGTACTTTATTACATTAAATATTTAAAATCTACTTTTTTATTCCAGTGACTGTTTGATTGAAATGATGGTTACTCCAATGGAAATCATCTCCATAATCTATTAAAAAATTTTAAATATGGAGATGTATATTTTCGAACCTGGCCTATCAAAGCTGTATTTTTGTGTTGTGTTTGTCTTGTAGAGATGTTGACTGGCTGGTGGAAGGTGACGGACGTCGAGGAGTTACGATCTATAGAGAAAGCATGCCATTCCCGAGGGATCCGAGAGAAACAGCTGCAGAAACAGCTGCAGAAACACATGGACTACATCGGGCAGGTCTGCAGCAGGAACAGAGATGGTAGGTGCTCGTTGTGTCTCTGTTTGAAATGCTTCGAGGGCAGTGCTCTTAGTCTGCGCTCTGTGTCCAGTGAATGTGATCGACGTCTCTGAGCTGGAGGAGAATCAGGCCTCTGAGGACACCGTCCAGAGCTGGTGTGTGGAAGAGCAGGCCATGGACATGGACATCGGTGTCCTGCAGCAGGTGGAGGAACTGGAACACAAGGTCACCTCAGCCAGTCTGCAGGTTAAGGTAGGAAATCTGGATTTTAATGAACATTATTATACATAATCAATCATCTTTTCTTGTCTGTGCCTACGAGAGCATTCGTGTTTTAGTTTAAATCTTTTTATTGATGCTTTTCAACAAGACAGATTAAAAAAAAGTATATATATATATATAAAATATAATATAATAAAATATATATAGATCATCTTTAAATTAAATTAATAACTATTAATAATGATAATAAACAAAACATATTATTTGATCTTTTTAATTATTCAATTTAATTTTCTTTATTACTCTTCTTCTTCTTCATTATTATTATATTGTTTATTAATTTAATTTAAAATTATTTTATCTCAAGAGTTTCGTGCTGTACCCTTTGTGTGTATATATGCTAATAAATAACAGTAATAATAAGTACACATATACATAAAATACACCAATACTTGAGACAATGCTGAGAAGGAAGAAAGAGAGAGGAAAAAAGCTTTATGTATAGAATCACAACCAGCTGGGAGTAAAATAAAACACATGAAGTATCATAGAAAGGGTTGCCAAATACTATAACGTTTTTCTGCATCAACAAGCATTGTGAATCCTTTTTTTTAATTAACTGTAACATGTCATGCATCCAATGAGAGTAGTTGGGAGGGAAGGCTTTTTCCAGTTTATTAGTATAAGCCTTTTAGCAACATCAACATTAACATTAAGTCCAAATAATGCCACTAGAGGGCATGGTTTAAAATGAAATAGAACAATATCAGAAATTGACATAAAAAAGCCCAAAAGTATGACATAGAGTTGCTGGAGCTTAAGTAAGATGAAGTAGGATCAAGATCCAGGTTAAGAGCATTAATGTTTCAACACTGCCTTTGATTTGAACTGCAGTGTTTAAAACTGTATAAAAGTATTGTTTGTTTGTTTGACAGGGCTGGATGCATCCAGTGGTGCAGTCACAGAGTGAAGACCTGCTGTATTACGAGCACAAACCCGTCGTGCAAAACTGCAAAGACAAAAGTGACAGCGGCATCGTACGTCGAGTGAACAACCCTCTGGATATAGCAGTGACGCGTCTGGCGGAGCTAGAGAGGAACATCGAGCGAAGGTACCTGAAGAGCCCTTTAAGCAGCACCGTTCAGATCAGACTGGATAACGTGGGAACGGTCTCAGTACCGGCCCCTGCACCATCACCTGCTAGAGCTGATGGTGACGGGTAGGTCATCCAGATTCACACGCTCCTCAAGCCTGTCTGCCGCTCTTCATGCTTCACTTTGGCTGTGTGCATCTATGGGTTTATGGCTGTGGTGCTTCTTTCCCATTTACACTGCAACCTTCACTTTTTGGCTTGTGAAGCATGAGCATGAGGCACTGTCTACATCTACAGTAACCACAGCCTCATTACATCCAGTCATCTGCCTTCCACAAGCAAGTGCTTCTTGAAGAGGCTGCCACAAAAAGGGTACTAAATAGAGCCTGAAATTCTTCTAAATAAATAAATAACAATAATAAGAAAACAACAACAATAATAATAATTAAATTGGAATAAATGTATTCAATGTAAATTATTTGTTGCTGAATTTTATTATTATTAATTATTCATTAAACAAATATTGATGATTATAATAATGTGATTTAATTAGAATAATTGAATAGTTAAATATAACTGTTATTATTATTGTTATTATTAGTATTATTATTAGTTTACATTATCAATTATTAATTGTTGATATTGTTAATAATAATAATAATAATGCTATTAGTAATTATAATCTAATGTATAATTATGTATTTATTTTAACAAATGGTCAGATATAAGAGGAGTGATATTTCTAGGTAAACTGAAAAATTACTTAAGAGTTTACAAACTAAGATCTAATAGTTCTAAAAAAATAAAATAAATAAATATTATTATTTATAATTACTCTAGAGGTCAGAGTTCTGAGTAATTATAATACAAATTATAATAATAATAATAATAATACTAACAAGGTTGCAAATTTAGCCTAAATAAAGCCATCACTCAGTAGGGGATAGAAAGTTCTGTGACCAAATGTTGGTTTGTTGTTGCTGATCAAATTATATTTCCCATAGAATGCTATATAAATAATATTTGATAATATTGTATAACTTATTATTTAAATAATATTATATAAATTGTAATAAATAGAAGGGTTTATAGACCAACATCTAATAGTTCTCTCAACAACAATTTTTTTTTTAAAAACAAATTGTGCCTCCTAATGCTATTTAAACTAATATTGTACCCTATTTGTGGAAAGTGGCAAAACACGGTTGAATCTGATTGCTGTCTCTGTGCTCATTTAGTTTGTGCACTGTGGTTATTATCAGCATGAATGTGGGTTATTGATCATGTCATATTTTTACTGAAATATGGTCATATCCAGGCTCCAAAATTAACATTCACCAAATCAGAATAAATCTGCCATTCACTTACAAATATGTATGAACTTTTGGAAGATTCAAAAGAATCTGACCATCACTGACGCAAGAAAAAATGCAAAATAATTGCATTGTCTTGAAGACAAATACAGGTGCATCTCAATAAATTAGAATGTCGTGGAAAAGTTCATTTATTTCACTAATTCAACTCAAATTGTGAAACTCGTGTATTAAATAAATTCAGTGCACACAGACTGAAGTAGTTTAAGTCTTTGGTTCTTTTAATTGTGATGATTTTGGCTCACATTTAACAAAAACCCACCAATTCACTATCTCAACAAATTAGAATACTTCACTATCTCAACAAATTAGAATACTTCAC